ATTTTGGGAACTTGAATGTGATATTTGCAAACTTGCTTAACCTAAATTTTGATCGTAATTTAAGGTATTGTATTGGGGTATTTTCGTAATATTCTATTTAAAATTATGTATAAATTAAAAAGGAGGTGAGAGATATTTATATAGGTGTATATGTACGCATTTTGGGCAGCACATAATTATTTGGGTAGCACCTTTGAAGGACAGTTGTAAAGGGGATAAACATCACTTTTGGTTACTATATGTTTACACCTCTTCTATAGTGATATTCATGTTCCTAAGCTCTAAGAAACCTGGTGAAATCTCTCTAACCATATTACTCTCAAAATCGCAACTGAAAAACTTGGTCCTTTTGGCTGTAATTCGAGACAGACGCTTCTCTTTGGTAGTGTTTGGTATTTTCAACATATCGCGTTCTATAGAACTTCGTTTACAGTGATTAAATATGATTAGGAAAGCTAATTCATATACCTACAATTCCTATATTTGTGTTAAAATCTAATTTAGCTGTTATGAATATGAAATATGGGACGCAACATTGGACAAATTCTGTCCAGATTTCGAAATTAGAAATCATGTATGGACAACTGTTAGTGTTTTGAATATATCTTTTTGTACAAAATATATTTTGCGGTGATTCTTGTTCATTTGCAACCTTAAAGAATGTACCTACATCTTTAATAAAGGTTATAAAGTCCAGTTTTGCCATTTTCCTTTTCAAACTAAGTTGCGACATGAGGTACTAGGTTGGCCAGAATCACTGTTTTGGGAGCATAGTTGTATTTGTACAGGTTAAGCTTACTTGTGATGATAATCCTATTTTACTTCGACATTATTGAGATACTAGGAATTAAAGAAGTTATTTAATTGTATTTTTAAGGTTGTATATACTCGTGAACAAGTTGAGGACCTTGATACATTGGTTGGTCTACGGTTTGAACTCGCGAAGTTGTGTTGGACTGTTTCTATGATAAAGCATTGAGGTTTGTGTATAAACATGAAATTACACTCTTTTTACCAGCTGGTATATCTGAAAGTTTATTTTGGTACCTTGGTTACCTCTTGTCACTTTGCATTGTCGTGTTGGTATCCTTTAAGACATTAAGGACACTTGTGTAACTCGCCCACTTACATTGATTGTTTGATCACTTGACACTCTTGTTGGGACCTTGTTCTTATTGTGGCTGTGACTTTGTCACTATTGGCATGCCTCTTGATTCGAATCATTTTCCATCTTGACTCTGAATTTTTAGTCCGTTTTAAGAATGGAAGTTGTCCATTTTAAGTACGAACTAGAAAGCCATTTTTAATATGGTTCTTGGTTCTCTTGATTATTGGGCTTTGACCCTTCTTAATACAGGGCATCGGCCCTTCTTGATACCTGCTTGTTCTTGGTGTGACGACATGATGTATATATTGCGCGACCCTTGTAATTGAATCTCTTGAAAAATGGTGCTTTGAGCATTCTTGACATTTGGATATTTAAATATCAAACTTGATACTCTTTATATATTGTTTACTTGTTTTGTTTGTTATGTTTCAATTGTGCTGCCTATGACTTGAGAAAGGTAGCTTGGTGAATTTGAGGGCTCCGAGCCTATAGTTTTTACACCACTAAGCTATATGCTTAGCGATAGTTGTTTCTATCGTAGGGAATGTTCGAGAGCATGCGTGAAGCTGGCCATTGGAGATGGATATTTTGAGAACCTTAAGGAAGATCACATTTGCATATAGGCATCTATATTTTGTATAAACCTTGGGACTTGTATATGATCTATGTGTTGTATATTTACATGAAATTTTGAAGGATAATTTGATCATGTCACCATGGGTTGTAATATAAGTGTGGCTATATATTTTGTTCTTTTTGTGGTGTATAGACTCAAGTATTGTAATATACTAAATTTATTATTTGTTTTGAACGGTTGTGTGAAGCGTGAACCGGCTAATTTGGTTACTCGGAAGTTGGTAACATTCTTTTTATATCATTTTTAAGTGTTAGGATAACATATGTATGAAAATCTCGTTAGTTGTTTGCTTCGATTATCTTGGAAGGGTTTTTCTGCCATAAGTAAAAATTCTACGCAGTTTTGATTTGACGCAAATAAATGTTTAAATGGACTGGATGCACATCCTTAACTATTTTTTTTTTTATAAACCTAATCCCTCTACTAAATTATAATAAATATGGCCATAGTTAATCTCTTTTAAATGTCGCAAATATTTAATTATATTTCTTGTTTAAGTGGTAGTATCCTTTCGAATGGGTCGCTACAGCATGCATCTTTACCTTTAAGCATATAAGAGTCAACATTCTTCATCAACTTCATTAGGACACATTCATGCATTGAGAGGACTTTCATTCATTAGACATTAGATCAACTTTCTCCTTAACTTCTTCCTAGGATGACATTCAAACCATTGTCATTAAGACTTAGAGAACTCACTATGATCCTCTCAAAGCCTACTCGTGCAATGCATGGATAGCATCCCATACTACTTACTACCCACACTTTCTAGAACTCCTCAAGAAACCATAATGCACATCTCACATGATTGGAATAGGTATTAACCGAGATAGACCATGAGAGCTAAATCATGGAATCCGGTGTCATGTGACCCACACCGAAGAAGGGTGTTCTACTTGCCAAGAGTAGAACTAGTAAGCATCCTATGTAGGCACATAGTTATGGGGTGTGGAAGATGTTCATTGGACTCTAACCACCATCTTAGCCATATCCACTCGGTGCTTAGCCTCCATTCCCATAGAGTAGTTCATTCATTACATTGTTGGACTTGAGAGGGCCACCACCATTAGGCCTACCGACCCAAAGTACTTTCCTAAGAAAGGGCCACCACCAATAGGCCTACTGATTCAAGGTACTTTAAGGATAGCTCTTGGCTTCCCTAGAGAGAGCCACCATCATTAGGTCTACCGTCTTTAAGTTCATCATTTCAGACAAGAAGAAGGCCACCACCATTAGGTCTAACACTTCAAGGTTATACATTCACATTGGGTTCTAGACTCATCATGAATGGCCACCAACAATAGGTCGACCGGTTCAAGACATAGTGTAAAATACCTCATTAGAAATTTATAGAAGGCTACCAACATTAGGTCTACCAATCTAAGACATTCATCCATTCACTTAAGAAAAGGCTACCAACCTTAGGTCTACCAATTCTAAGCCATCTACACATTCATTAGTCATTTATGAAAGGGCTACCAATATTAGGCCTACCGATTCATGATCATTAGGACACTAAGTCAAGATACATTCATTATTCAAGAAGAGGATGCCTAAACCTACCAAGTCAAGATACTTCATTCATGATCACATTCTTCAATACAAGAAAAGGATGCCTTATCCTACCAATTCAAGAGATAACATTCAATCATAACTTTCATTTATGAAGAAGAGGGCACCTAAGCCTACCAATTCAAGTTATACAACATTACATTATATAACCCTTCACATTCCATCATCAACATTTATGAGAGTTAATAGAGAGATAAAATTCAACCCTAATACAATTAGCTTCTAAACAAGATCAACATTCTATCATTGAAATCACATGCAAATCCTTCACATTATACCTTCACCTACACAATATCATCATAATACTTCAATTCCTCAAACTATGACTTCAAGGACATGATCACAATGTACATAGTAAGTAAACACATCCACCTTTCAAGTGGATCAACAATTCAAGAACAATTCTACTTTAACATGAAACTAGGTCAAACTTTCCCTTTCAAGGCTATGATCACAATTCCTCAATTCATCAACAATTCACCATAATTAGACATTGATAATGATACAATTCAATAATCTAAGTCAATCTAAGCATAAATGCACCATCATTCATTCATAATCATCAAACCCACTTTATAAGGTGAAATTTAGGAATCAAGAGAAATCATGGGTTCATAGAGTAAAATCATATTAAATCATCAATTAAACATCAACGTAATCATAATTTATCATTTGAAAACATTTGACGCAAGAACCCATGAGATTGAGTGAAATCTAGGTATTTGAGAAACGTAAAGACTTTGAAAGCTTCTTTGAAATTGACTCTAGAATGAATGCTAACACTAGATAAAGGATCACCATACCTTACAATTGAAGAATCCCATGATACTGAAGAAGAAACACCTTGAAATCCCCAACCCTAGCTTGATCTTGACCTTGATCTCCAATGGAGTTTCTAAGGATAACTTTTTAGAAGGGAAGGGTTTTGATTTGAGAGGTGCAATATAAATGAGGGTTTCAATGTTTTAATACTCTTTAAATATGTTAATACACCTAATATAATTGTCCATGCACTTTAAAAGACTTGGGGTGAATTTATCAATTCACCCATCACTTGGTCGTGTCACTTGACAGCAAGCAGGTGCCACTCACGAACGTCATCCACGGACCGTGGATGGGTCCACAGGATGTACTGTCCAACCATGGTTTGTTTCAAAGACATACCATGAGGGGGCCTGACTTACAGAGCAAGACCAGGAGTCGTAGATCAATCTACTAGCCGTGGATTGTTTTTGTCGTTCACAATATTTTGGCAGCTTGGTGGTTTCCTTGGGTATTGGGGTTTAGACTTAGGGTCCTCGGTGGTCCTTGGGGAGTTGTACCTTAACGTTTAACCCCTAAACACCTTAACCATGGCTCGGGACAACATCAAAACACCTTAAAAACTCAAGACAAACACAAACGCACACACGTTAGGCTCTAGTTTCATTAGTTTAATTTTAGGGTCGTTACACTTCAGGAATAAATAAGATGGGCTATTATATATTGTTATACTTCAAGAATCTGTCTTTAATATGACTAGAAAAATTTCATGATTGCTATTGCACCAACTTATTATTTGTCATCAGGTTCAGGATAACCCGGCAATGCTACTTATTTTGTTTTGGTACTAGGCAACTGATGGAGTTGTGGTGTGACTTGTCTTGAAACTAGTAGACCCAAGGAGCATTGAAACTAGTAGATCCAAGGAGCAGATTGAGGTATGACTTGTCTTAATGTTTGATATCTTTTTTCCCTATTGTTTTCTTCTAACTGTAGTGTTTTCAATGTATAGGCACCTCCATCTAGCTCATCTAGACCTGCCCTTGAATTACCATCAGTAGCTTCCTCAGCACGGGTAGACTGATACTATTTTTACATTGTTGGGTCAATAGTTTCATTGTTTTTAGTTAGAAGGGCTTATCGTGCCGCAGACCTAGATATTTTTCCTACTATTGTTTGTATGTCTTCTATGGTATTCCTCTCCTGGGGAGTTAAAAAATTTAAATGATCTACTTATATTGCAAGACCACGTTGGTTATGACTTGTCAAAGCATATCTTAAGTCATGTGGACAGGCCGACTATGATGCCTTTGTATAAACAGATTCATAGACCTGGTAAATTTTACATTGTAGATTGATTCTTTGCTTTTTATATTGGGTTTTCAGTTCTTTTGCATGCCAATCTTGTGATAACTATGCACTGTCTAGTAATAACCTGCATTTTGCTTTCTTGATTTTCTTCTGCAGGATGGGTCTTTGCCTCCAAGTTTATCAGTCGAATCATCATCTCCATTTACTTCTAGTATATCTTCGAAGGATAGTTAGTTGGTTAGTCTTGGAAGCGATAGACTGCCCCATTTAAGAGCTTATTAGCTTTATAGGAGCAGTGTTTTTACTAGAAAAATTCTAACTTAGCTTCGACTGGATACACCATGACACTGGGGCCTTCCTAGAGTGTAATTAGCTTATAGAAGTATTTTCAACCTTGGTCTGAACAGTCAGAATACTTCAGAAGTTAAGGTCTTCCAATAGTTTGTTGGAGCTGGTTAATATGCTAGCTACAAAGTGTTGGTGTGTTAATTTGCCTTACACCATGATGAAAGCAAAAGTTGTCTCAGCATCAAAACAAAGCAAGTAGTGTTGTGTATTGGACCTAAAGATTCTTCCTTTGTATTATCTACAAAAGGTATAATCATATATTGTCATGTGTTATGTTTTTATCTACCTCCATTAATCCAAATGGTGGTGGAGTAAAATACCCTTTTAACAATGCGGGGATGGGTCTCAAGCTTTGGGGTTGTGGTTCTTCTTCTTCTGATGATTCAAATATAAGTTGTGTGAGTAGCAACAATAAATATATGAATGGATTTTAGGTTTTTGCTCCACCCCATCCGATCTTGTTACATGATGAGGAGGAAGCTAGTACTACTAGTGCTACTAAGAATTCTGACACTAACAATGATCCATCTCACAAAGGAAGCTCTGTTGGATTCTTTAACGAGGATTTACATGATAAAATTGTTGTAGCGGTTGATGTTGATGAAGGTATTTGAAACTAAACTTTCCCTTTAAATGTAGAGTTTTACAATTGTGGTTAATGCCTGTAACCAAGTGAGCTAGCAAAGTCGGGGGATGAAAAATTACATATACATAGATGTTGAACACTTTGGCCCAAATAGTAATTTTGCATAGTTCTGTAATCCTGCTTATCTAAAACACATATGGTTACAATTTTGCTTGTCCTATCATGTAGCATTGTGGATATGTTGTTTCTTATCTCTTTAGATCAAAGTTCTAGTTCACCTTCAGATTTTTGTGAATGTTTGACCCATGGCCTTTGTCACAGAATCTCACAGTTTTTTATTTATGTTTCATACTATATTCCTTACACAGTAACGATTTTTTTTATCCTTGTTTTTCAGGGAACAAGGTCAGTTCTGTATTCGAATGATCGAGAGTCCATCAGTCATTGTGTAGGAAAATGTCGGTAATTGAATTTGAATAGTGGCCAGAAGTAAACTCGAACTATTGTATTGAACAATGAAGAGTTTTTGTACTATTGTCATATTTATTTGAATGCATTTCCTTTTGTGAAATTTATTGATAGTAGAGATCTTTAAGCAATCGCTTTCTAAGTTTTGGTTGTACAAGACATGTTTTTCGAAGTTTATTTGAAATCTATAGCTTTGATTTATTTATTAGCTAATTTTGTGTTTTAGATCACTTATATATTTAATTATTTGATTAATGAATATATGCAAATAATTATTATTATTCTTAAAAATAAAAAAATTGTGGCTACAAAGATTCTACACAACATTGCAACACTTCAAAAGTGTTGCTATAGGGACGTCCAATGTGTGGCTTACTAATTACAAATTAAACCTTGTACATAATAAAAGTTACACTTTATAAGTGTTGTTCTAGATGAGATATAAAGGGGAACACTTTTTAAGTCCTACCAATAACAAAGCAAAGGCCACTCTTTTAAGTGTAGTATAATCAAACTAAAGGTGTTGCTAGTGAATTACTACAAAGTGTGCCCTTTATACCTCTTTGGCCATGCTTTTTAAGTATAGCTGCTTTGGCGACATTTCAAAAGTGTGGCCTAATGTCAAAGGTTATGCTTCTTTAGGCCAGTCCCTAAAAAATGTTGATGAAAGTCCAAAAGTGTAGCCTTTTATGAAAGGCCACACTTTTTGCTAGTTTAGGCTACACTTTACTAGGGTGGTCGTAGGCCTAAAATGTTGTAGTGAGTAGTTCTCTTATGATGTTAAGGACTAAAGGTTGAATAATGTTGATATGATGCTTATGTTGGAGACTTTGCTTATGATTATGATATTGTCTCTTATGCTTATAGTTTATGTTCATGAAGTATCTCTTATGCTTATGGATTATGTCTTGTGTTAAATAACCCTTATAATATGCTCTTATGATGATATGCTAGCTATCATATTCAGTACTTTTGTACTAACGCATACTCTTGCCTACATTCTCATCAAATGTAGGGTCCGGTGATTTAAGTTCCATTCTTGAGGATAGGTTTCTAGAAGTGCAAGGAGTTGAAGACTTGATGAGTCCTTATAGCATGGAGGATAAATCCACTATTTCCTTATGTTTTTTATTTTCATGTTTTGAAACTATTGTATGGGCTGTGACCCAAGAGTATTCAAAGTTGTATCAGAGATGGTTTGAGACAAAGTATAGAAAGACTTCCGCTTGCTTTTATAAAAGACTTCGATTGTATGGATAAAGTTTTAAAATTTACGTACTTTTCTATTATCTTATGTTATGATATGCTAGGGGCTTGTATGATACCCCTTAGGGGTCAAGTACACCATGTTACATCTAGGGTGCACCCCTGTGTCGTGTCAAACTTGGTATTCAGAGCACAAGGTTTTGAATGGTTCTAGGATTATGTCAAACCACGTCTAGTAGAGTCTTTTTCATAAATGTGAAGCACGCCACATTTATGAATAGAAGGCTATTAGATGTTTAGGAAGCTTCACTTCGTCATTCTCTAAGTCGTTCCATAATGTTTAACGCTATTAGGTCCTTCTCCTAATCCGTACCCTATGGTTTTTAAGGTATGACTAATACCAAGGAAAATTCTAGGAGAAATGAGGAAGAAAATGTGGATCATGAGGTTCCTCCCCAAGCTCCTCCTCAAGCTCCGGTTGATCCTCTAATTGAGAATGTTACTTATGCGGTGTTGTTTAAAGTCTATTCTCAATTATACATTTGTGAATGATGATTATATGTTGTGAAAGGTTTTCTCAATGTATAATATATCTTGAATTGGTAAGCTTAGGGCATCCTCTTCATGTGTAATTAAAAGTGATCTTGATAGATATACATTGAATTGGTAGGCTTAGGGCATCCTCTTCATGTGTGTAATAATGAACCTTGAATCGGTAGGCCCATGGCATCCCTTTCATAAATGATTAATGAATTATTCTAAGGCTTTGTCTTGAATCGGTAGACCAATGGTATCCCTTTCATAATGAGTCCATGAACTACTATAATGATGAACCTTGAATCGGTAGACCAATGGTATCCCTTTCATGACAATTCAATGAGCTATTCTAATAATGTACCTTGAATCGTAGGCTAATGGCACCCTTTCATGTGTGTAATAATTTACCTTGAGTCGGTTGGCCAATGGCATCCCTCTCATGTATAGTAATGATAAAAGAGAATGAACTACTCTATGGGAATTTAATGTTTGGCACCGAGTGGATATTGTGAGTGGAAGCTCTCCCCATATTAGGTCGTGTTTCTAGTAACAACCTCCTTATCCCATAACTATATTTCCACATAGGTTATTCTCTAGTGGATCCTCCTAAGATAAAATATTATCGATTCTACCTTAGGCAAGTAGACCAACACTTTACGGTGTAGGATAGACACCGGATTCCATGTTTTTCTCACATGGTCTTTGTCGTTTAGGGCTTATTCCCATCATGTGAGTTATCTACTATGGTTACTCAAGAAGTTCTATGAAATGTGGGTAGGGGTATGGGACTTCATCCATGCATTGCACGAGTAGGCTTTGAAAGTGGTCATGGTGTGTTCCTTAAAAGCTATAATGTCTAATGAAATGAATATGTCTATAATGATGTTATTGAGAATATTGACATGAAGGCTAAATGAAATGATGAATGCTTAACTTGGATTGATTCTGTGAGTTGCTTTCCTTGACATGACTTATTAAATGTGAATGTTCCTTGTGTATTAGTATTAACTAAAGATGGGATCACAGAATGGTAAATAAGACTATGGTGGCCCAAAAGGGATACTTAGTATGAGTGGTATTATGGGATGCCATTCATACATTGAGCAAGTATAACTTAGGGTTACCTAAGAGATGATTCTATTATGTTATAATGATATATATGATGAACATGCTTGTGACTTGTGTTTTACACAAAGTGAATGATGATTTTCAAACTTTGTAAATGCATACTTTTCAACTAAAATGTCTCTTTTAGCATGTTTTCAAGGATTTTGTGCATTGCCATCATACTTAGTGCATTTTTGTACTAACCCATATTTTCTACATTTTTCAAAAAGTGTAGGTTTCAGTTCTTAAGGTGATCTTCTTTTGGATTCAAGCTTGGATCTACTATTCTCCTAGTTTGTGGTGAGTCCTCAAGATTCGAGGATGTATAAGTCACTAGTAGTTTATTTCTAGTCATTTTATGTTTCGAACTATGTTGAAGGGGTGTGACCCTATTGTTGATTCAAATATTGTATTAGATGGCTATTTGAGATAAGTTAGACTTTCGCTTGCTTTTATAAAAGACTTCGATTGTATGGATAAAAGTTTTTAAATTCCGCATCATTTCTTATGTCTTATGTTATGATATGCTATGAGGTTTGTATGAGGATTTTCAGAGTCTTGTATGTCGTGTCACATCTATGGGGTACTCTTGGGTCGTGACAAACATGGTATCAGAGCATAAGATTTTAGGATGATGTCTCATAAGCCACGTCTAGTAAATTCTTGTTCATGAGTGTGAAGCGCGCCACATTTGTGAATGAGAGGCTTAAGATGTTAGGAAACTACACTTCTTTCATTACTCTTAAGTCGTGCCATAGTGTTTAGCTCTATAAAGTCCCTCTCCTAACCCTTCTCTTGTGTCTTCAGGAAATGAATACACGAAGGGCTAACGCAAGAAGAATGGAGGGTAACAATGTCATTGAGCAAGCTCCTCAAGTGAATCAAGCTCCGGTTAACCCTCCAGCTATGTCAGAAGTGGAAGTGTAACGACTCGCAAAATGGTAGGATGA